AATATTTTTTTAATCGTTTGGGACTTGCCCGGTTAAAGCGGTTGAATCAACCGGTTTACCAGTTAAGCCGGTTAAATCGCTTCCAGGCCCATGTCCGATAAACCGTTCCGGTTCGATTTTGCGAGCACAGGTCTACATGCAAAGTCTCATCTGGTTGACTTTCTCTCTATTAATCCCCAACAATGGTGTCTGCCTAACCCCACCACTAGGCCATATTCTTTGCGAAGAACTACAACTGGGCCTTTGATTAAGCCTAACAAACGGTGAAGTCTTTCACAGTCCCTCTTCAGCCTTTTGATGATTTCCTTTTATGTACTCACTCCTCGGATAGATTTTTTTTTTCCATTAAGAGCTACATTAGACATAGGAGCCCCACCATAGAGATCTTCAAATCTTTATGGGCTTCCCATTCCCACCCTTGGGCCAAATGGTTCACTCCAAAATGGGTGTTGTGTCCATTTTCTTTTTAACATCCAGAACGTGATTCTGCGATTTCACTCCAAAATGGGTGCTGGTTCACCCAAAACACAATTCCGTGATTTCGATTCATCACACAGCAAGGTGTGTAGCAGACAGCATAACTTCAAAAAGTGATTGGTGTAATAGAAGGATTAATTATTGACTCCACTCTTGGCCAATTATGATGCAAAGTCACCAGGAGTGTAATTGCTGCCACTGTACTATTCGAATAGACTTCCGAAGTTGTCTCTAAAGAATGGCATGGAAATATGGAGATTTAAATAATTCAATTTTTGCTTTCCTTTGCTTATCAACTATGTCCAAGTCATTCTGGAATAACCATGAATCGATGTAACAACAGTTTAATTTAACACCATACAGTATTTCCAAATGTTTATTATTTTAATGGCCATTAGTTTATAACGATAACGTCCATCTGGAAGGGAATTTCCTTAATAATTCGAATCCAAATATGTAGTTGTGAATTCATATCTGCGTTACAACATTGAAATTGCATCAACAAAGATTAGGGGAGTAAGTCATGGATTAGTCAGGTGGAAACTGAGTTTGAGTATTTAACAGTAAAAATTCTAAATCTCAATTATCATTCGAGAAAGTTCCCTAATTGTCCAAGAGGAATCTTAACAAAGACTCATGAATGGGCCAATCTCAGTTTTCAGGAGATCACACCGCTCATGCCACCCAAAAACTTTAATTTTCCAAATTAAAGAGAGTTGGAGCAAGTCTTTCATAGATTAGTCACATGGAAACTGAGTTTCAGTTTCTTGACAATAAATATCGAGTGCAAAAACTCAATTAACAGCAGGGAAAGTTCTCTATTTGTCCAAGAAGAATCTTGCACAAGAGTCATGAATGTGACCACCACAGATATTGGAGGAGTTCACACTGCTGCCAGCCAAAAATTATCTTTTCCCAAATCATAGAAATCTTCCTTTCGTGATCTAAATCACAGTCACCCAAATCATACTAAAGAAATGGAAGAGGTTGGAATTTCAAGGAAGAACTGGATGGATTGCGAAGGTATTGTACTTTCAAAGAGAGTTCCTCTGCATATCTGATCTTCCAAAAACTTAGATTTCTCGAAGATCCCTCAGACTTGGAATAATTGACGTTATATGATGAGATTTCAGAAAAGCTTTAGACGACTTGCCAAAAGCTGGTGGTAGTAACTTATCATGGAGGGAAAATATGCTTTTCCATGATCCCCCTAACTTGAGCAAGTTCCGAACGGCCCAGGGAAGGTTTAGAACTCTATAGAGGCCCTTTTTGGGTCCAGCTTTAGAGACATTTGGCATAAGCATAACTTAAAGTATAAAGTGTGCAATCTTCGAACAGACATGAAATGAATTTAAGGACATTAGGGCTCCTTAATGGGGGACAACTTTTCACTACTACAACTTTTCCAAGTGATGTTGCACCAAAACAAGTTGGTTTTATTGCTTCGACTGTGTTTATAGGGTTTGGTTTTATTGCTTCAGCTGTGTTATGAGGCATGTTTTTGCCAGATATATCATCTCACTTCAGGGTTTGAAAACATTGGAAATAAATCCGAAGATGATCTTTTAAGAGAAAAATAATAAAAAACTCACAAACAGAAACTCTTAGGTTTCAGTGAGACCCAATGGATGTCTAAAGCTCGTATTGACTCATACAACTATGGGTGCAAGTATTGTACATATGAAAATTAAAATTGCTTTGCTGGAACAGGCATCGCTAGTACATTGTGCTTTTCTCAGTTATATTTTTACAAAGAGAAGAGTTTGTACTTGAGTATTGGACCATAGTATTGAACTCTTATTCCAAACATAGAAAACCTGCAGTAGAGAGGGCAGGCAAGATAGGGGGTGTAGTGACCTCCTCTCCTTGTACTTGGAGATTAAAGTTTTTCTTGGCGAGTGAGTTTTCTTCTTTTTTTTTTTTTGGGGGGGGGATGGTTGGGGGAGTGCGGCAGGGGGGAGATTTTGCTTCTAGCATAATTTTTCGATTCATGATACTTGCATTCTTTTTGTCTTCATATGCTGCATATACTAGAGGTTCAATTGCTACAAAATTGGTGTATCCTTATGGCCTGGATTTGTTACTTTCTTTGGCTTAGCTGGCATTTCTTGATCAATATTCTATCGAACAATCCTCAGCAATCATTTTCTTATGTCTAGCATTGAGCTAAGAAAAAGATTACAAATAAAACAAATGGTTCGACTTCAATATGCAATGTGATCACTTATGCACGAGTTTGAAACACAAATGTACCCTATCGACATTAAAATTTTGAAAGAATGTTTAAAGCTTAAGATGTTTTCTGCTTACCCCACGCTGAATACGGTTAAGCATCTTGGCCATATCCAAGTAACCTTCTTGAGTAAATGCAGCATTCCATCTTCGTGCACTGAGAGTTTTTCCAGCCTATGTGAACAATGGACTTAGCTCAGGAACTTACTTGACGGAAACAAAATCGAAATAATTACATGCACATATATGAAATGATTGAGAACCAACAACTCAAAAATGGCAAAGATAAGTTCCAAAGACAGAGAGCTTTAGGCATCCAAGACTCAAGATTTTGTATGGTTCATTTACAAGACCCTCATCCATATTGCTTATATCATCAAGACCACCTGTGACTATGATCCTTGTGAGACAATCGAATAAATAGGTGATTTGTCCATCACTAAATTTAAGAACAAAAGTATCTTATCACCTAAGAAGAGACTAAAATCTACCATGAAAATCCATACACTAATTAGAGATACCTTCCTTTAGATCTTTTTTTCTTTTGATAAAACCCAAGGTGAGGAGACCTATGCAAAAGAGAGTTACCATGAGAGGTTTTTATCATCTTTAAGACGGAATTGAGCATATAAATAATGCTAGTGCCTAGTGGCATTTGTTGGATACAGAACTCTATAGATACACAATAAAAAATGGCTGACAACAGCTGAGTTATTACAAACCAAATGCAAATGGTGTATAATAAAGGGCACAACAGACTGCTTTAGAACTGAACTTCTTTTATAATTTGTTACTCTAGAATAAGTACAACAGGATCCAGTGACTAGTAAAAAAATTCAGCTTCTGTAATTGAAAACAAGTAAACTTTAAAATGTCTAACCACGTCAACATGTTTCATATTCCATTCCAAAACTTAACGTGTCAAGGTATCTCATTTTCCCACATGCTGCTATAAGGACTTGATCAAGAAAAGAAAATACGACGATAAAAAGAAGAGGGGTAGTTTTGTTGTAAAACCATGTAGCAAAAAAAATGACACAAAACAGAAGCCTCAACCTAAGTTTGCCATTATTTTTCCCATATCAGGCTTAATATGGTCTATTCTTTCTTATGCATAGAAAGAAAAATAACACAAAGTTAGAATACACAAAGAGGTATTCTATGTCTGTGATTCAAAAACATAAGAGGCATTCTATCTCAAGTAAAATTAACTCAAAGTCTACTTCATATTTGTTTTTCACTAAATTCACGTGTACGAGTGGGTCCCTAGCCGTTGTATTATAGATGAAAAAGAGTATATGATAGGTGAGAATTAACTGGTTTCACTATGTACTCTCTCACTCCTCTATGTATTTAATATCTTTGCTATATGAGCCCTATGTCACTTAAGAGAACTTCAGACCCTTACAATCTAAGTTGCCATTATGCCAGTCTTTAACTGAATAGAAACCCTACAGAAGAGAGGAGCCATATCATAACCGAGATTGATTCATCAATAATTGGTTCACCCAAAAACATTGCCCTTGCAAACTTTGGCACTGGAATACACATATTAATTCCCAAAATGCTGCAACCATCTAAGTGTAGAAGTTCATGTGACCTATACGTATTGCAAGGATGAACAAATAATAATAGAAAGTATATATTAGAAAGATCCAGAGTTCAATTGTAATAGATAAATTATTTATCATACATATTAACTGTTTCCACTTACCATAAAAATTTCACAGCAGAAAAAGTACATTTTATAGCATCGGACAACAAAAAGCATGACCAAGATATTCAAAACAAAAAATCTGTTTGCATAGCAGAAAAAATAACAGAGAAAAAGCTAAAAATGAATAGGCTCTTCATTTCTGTAAGACCGTGATAAATTTTTCTTGGAAAATTTATCAAAATGACCATAAAAATTGTCCTAATCAACATTTTACCCATTTTTTTACTCATTTGGAACTATTCCACCTCGTGATCATGGATCTTGTGATGGTTATTTTGAAATTAAATCAAATAACATGGGTAGATTGTTAAATAGTTGATCTCTCATAGGTATTTGGATAGATTTCCCTTTTTAATGTGAATGTATAAGAGATAAAAGCCATAACGCAAATATGATTATTGTCTCCAAAAATATCATACTGAAATTTATGAAAAGACTTCTCCCAATCTGAAATGGAAAAAGTAAAGGATATTCGATAGCTACTGAAGCCCAAACTAGATGTAAAAGGATTTTTAACAAATTCGAAGATCCTCACTTTTTTTATACTTAAAAATCACATATTTTCCAATATTAAGCATGAATGGGAATTAAAATAGCTTTAAATCATATTTAATCATGAACTCCACTGAAAATAGCTAAAAATCATTCCTTTTTTCCATGATTAATCACAAAATGGCCAAAAATAACTTTCCTCCATTGTTAATCGAGAAGTTCGAATAAAAAATAGCTATAAAGCATGATTAATCATGAACTCCAATGAAAATGGCTAAACATTATTCCTTTTTTTCATGATTAATCACAAAACCATGAAAATGGCCAAAAATAACTTTCCTCCATTGTTAATCGAGAAGTTTCAATCGAATTGATCAAGAACAGCTTTCCTCGTTGCTTCATCACGAATTCAAGCGACAATGACCCAAAAATTGAGAAGAAAATATGCGAAACAAATCAAGAAGAAAACGAGTCTTACCCTGATCTTGAAGCGAGTCTTTGGAACATCGGTGCATTCAGACCGAATAGCATAGAAAGAATCTGTAACGCCGTTATCCCTCCACATCATGAACCAAAACTCCAAAAATTCACCAAAGAAATCAAAAGAAACAAGAAAAAAGGCCTTTGCTTCACAGTTATTCACTCAAAGTCCAAAGAAATACACAGAAAATTGGGGAATAAATACCATAAAATACCAAAAATTGGCAAGAAAAACCACACCAACACGCTCGAGCTGGATCCCAAGGAGATTTATAGATTGAAATTCGGGGGATCCAGAACGGGTGCAGGTGGGTTGAAATATTCAGAGAGGGTGAGAATTTGCTCAAGATTTAAAAATGATTCGCAAAAATAATAATAATAATTAAAGAAACATGAAGGGGAAAAGTTAAAAATTGTTTTCCTTTTCAACTGAAGGGGAGAGAGAAAATGCAGTCGCCGGTAAAGAGAGCGAGGGGTTGGGACCCACTGATTGTCCGTCAAACAGGTCGCGTGAAAAAGGGCCGATGTCGCCGTTAGTCTGAGTCTGTCCATCTTTGGACATAGCAAACGAAGTGGACTGCCGTTAAAAACGCTTAACGTCCTCCGTTAACAAATCATTAGTTTATTATCTATTTGCCTTTTTAATTACTGAAAATATGACTGAAAATACATATTCCCATTACTAATAAAAGGACCCAAATGTCATTGACTCATTAATTTTGCGTAAGCATCGCAATAAACGTCATCAAAACCTGATGGAGTCGTTGGATTTGTGGTGCTGCCAATTTGTGACTCGGCCAAACTCAATGTCGGACTGAGTTGGCTGGTTGAGGAGGCGGCCAGTTTTAACTAGTTTGATCAGCAAGACAAAATCCGATAATTTTTCATAGGATGGATATTGTAGAAATGTGGGCATGATAATAAATATATTTTGTTAATATAATTTGATCTTAATTTTTAAAGTATTTATAATCTTTAACATAGAGATCATGAATATAAAAAAAAAATATTGAAAACTAAAAATAATAATTATATAAAAAAACATTTGGACCGTTAGTTACAATTATTTTTAAATGGACCACCTGTTTGCATCCACTGTAAGACGAATGCCTTATATCTCTAACCACATATTATAGAAATGTGGTCAAGCCAGATTGAAACAATTGTTCTTTTTAATATATTGTTTAGACATTTTTATTTTTTATTTGTTGAAAATATAATAAAATTGATGCGACTCAGGGTGAGACTCAATTTTACTAGACCAAACTTCTAACCGATCTGGAGGTTTAGCTAATTGTACAAATTGTTTGACTAGTGTTTTAAAAAATACAATTGATAATTTGTTTGACTAGTGTTTTAAAAAATATGATTGATAAGATAAATTGACCTTCCAAAAATCCGGTCTAGAACAGCAAATGCCACTCATGCCAGTTTTGATTGACAATTCAATTGACTCTCTTTCTTCTTCTTTTTTAACATTACCAAATAATTTCCATTAAAAGAAAACCAAGTTACAAGATACAGACAAATTCACTGGAAGGAAATAATCACCAATGAAGATTGGTGTACTCTTTTTGCAAGACAATCAGCCTCGGCATTAGACTCCCTGTAGCAATGGTGGATTTTAGCAGTTATAGTTTTGCGAATATCCTATACCTCATGAAAAATTACAGCCTACCTCCATGGTATATTAGCTTTGCCTTTACTATAAGCTATAGTGTTTGCTGAATCCCCTTCTATGATCGTCTCTCACTCAAATCTTGACAAGAGTTTAATGCATTCCAAAAGGCCTCTAGCTTCAGTTTCATTAACTATAGTGACAACGCAAGGGCCAGAATATGAACAAATAATATGCCTTATATGGTCTCTTATCAATTCACCTGCACTTAGGTTTCCAAAAGAGCTTCCAGCAAAATTCAGTTTGTGTGCATTAGCAGGTGGTGGTATCCAAATTGCGCCCATTCAACTTGATCTAGGAGAAGATAAACTAGCCACTGCCCTAGGATTAGAAATGATCTAGGTTTTTAGGATGAATTTAATATCTTTATGTGTAGAAAACCAGTCTGCTGTCAGTGCCAAAATATTGGATTTCAACATCGAAGTATCAGTGCTCAGCCCTTCAAATATTTTTTTATTTCTTTCCTTCCATATATCCCTAAGAATACTCACCCAAATTGATGTCCACAATATTACACCCATCTTTGAGATACCAAGAGTAAGCCATTGGTGAAGAAGCTGACTTATATTTTTAGGAGTATGTATTGAAAGGTTTAGACACTGACGAGCCCAATCCCATAAATTCATTACAAAGGGACAATCAAGAAAAAGATGTTGGGCCATCTCATTATCAGCTTTACAAAAAATACAGACATTAGTTAAAATGAAACCCTTTTTTCTCAAGTTATCAATAGTAGCTAGTTTATCTTGGCACAAAATCCATAAGAATAATTGTACTTTTAAAGGCACATGAAGCTTTTTTATCTTAAAAATTCCAGCATTTAACTATCTACTATGATCACAAAAAAGGAGATCATAGGCTGACTTAACTAAAAAGGCTCCAGAGTGATGAAGATCCCAAATAATAAAGTCTTTTGTATTTGGTGAACATTTTGAAGCATTTCCATAAGCTTTTGATATTCATCAATAAATTTATCAGAAACTCTTCTATACCTGCAAGGTAAAGACCAAACAATGTTAGTAGAAAAACCCCCACTAGCCTATTTAACATAAGCTAATGTGTTACTAACTTTGACAAACACCTCCGAGAATAAATATCTCAGTAGGAAGTCACAAAGTCATTTGTCAAATCAGAATAAAGTCTTTTCCCCATTGCCAGTCACTTTTCGAAAATATCTCAGATATATAGATCTATCATAATCAATAGCTCCAAACATGAGCCAAAGATGACTTATTTTTCAAACTTTTGATTAAGCTGTATAAAACATCCACCCTATACTTTTCTTTAAGAGCCTCTACCCAAAAAGAATTCTGTTGATTAATGAATTCTCCACCACCATTTGATAAACAATCCAGAATTCATATTTTTCAACCATCGAACTCCCAAACATCCTTTTCTCATTGGTGCACATACTTTCTCCCAACTTACCAGATGTAATTTCTTCTTCTTTTCATCATTCCCCCAAAGGAAATTTCTCATTAAACCTTCTAGACGCTTAACAATCTGTTTCGGTATCCTGAATAAAGACATATAATAAATTGGTAAATTTGACAAAGTTGATTTGATAAGAGTATTCCTTCCTCCCAGAGAGAGAGTCTTAGATTTCCACAAATCTAACTTTTTGAGAAATCTTTCAATGATGGATCCCATTTAGACCTCAGAGGATTTGAATTCACAAGAGGAATCCACAAATACTTGCAAGGTAAACTTTCCACTCCTCACCCCAACAAACCAGCCAACCTTTCCAGTGTATTTTCTGGACAACTTACTCCAATCAATTTGGTCTTGCCGAGGACAACCTTTAGTACTTTTACCTATTCTCTATACTTAAGAAAAATCCATAGACTTGTAACCTCTTTTTTACATGGATCACCAAATATGATACTATCATTTGCATACTGAAAATGTGGAACTATCAATCCATTATTTCCAACCTTCACACCAGAGATAATACATTTTGAAACCACTCCTCTAAACATAGCATTGAAGCTTTCAGCCACCAAACTATACAAGAAAGGTGATAAAGGGTCACCTTGTCTCAAATCTCTAGAAGCTTTAAAGAATCTAGCAGGTTTCCCATTAATTAAGAGTGAAAATGAATAGAAATTAAACACTCTTGAATCCGTAGTCTCAATTTTAATCTAAAGCCCATCATTCCCATTTGTGCAATGTAAAACATTTCAATCAACTTTATCATGTGCATTCTCAAAATCTAATTTGCAAATTAACCCATGTCTATTCTCTGTAATTCTGGAATGGATCCATTTTTGGGATACCAAAATACTATCTATAATCTGTCTGTCTTTCAAGAATGCTAATTGAGAACCTTTGATCACTAAATGAATAACATGTCATAACCTATTAGCACGGACTTTGGCAGTGACTTTGTAAAGACTTCCCAACAAACTAATGGGATGGATATCATTTACCTCCTCTATGCCACTTTTCTTGGGGATTAAAGCAATGAAAGTGGAATTCCTATATATATTAATCTTGTCTCTCCAGCAAAACTTCTTCAATAATTGAAGCAAGTCATCCTTCAATAAGTCCCAGAATGATTGGAAAAATGCTAAAGGACACCCATCTGGCCCATGAGCCTTGTTTCTACCTAGCCCAAAGACTACATCAATGATTTCATATATTTCAAACTTTCTTTCCATCCATATAGCTTCATTCATTGGCATTTTTTAGAAAGAAATACTTTGTAAAGATTGGTTTCCAAGATTTCCAGCAATAAAAGCATCCTTAAAATGGTTGATCAATGCACCTTGTAGCTTTGACATATTATCGCAGTCTAACCCTTGGATCTTTAAATTTTGGATCGAATTAATTCTTCGTTTAGCATTTGCTATGAAATGGAAGAATTTTGTATTTTTGTTACCTTCTTTCAGCCATTTAATCATCTATATTTGTCTCCAATGAATCGTTTCTAGCCTTAGCAAACTTTTATAGGTTGCTACCCAATTGTTTCTTTCACCAATTTGTTCTTGAGACAAGTAACCTCCCATAAACTAAATATCGTCCAACTCTTCAACATGTCCCCTGGCTTCAACGATCTTTGTCTGCAAATCACCCTAATTATTTCTTTCCAACTAATAATTTTGCTTTTGAGCAATTTGAGTTTTTATATAGCCGATAGCCTTTCCACCCTTCTATTTGAATATTATTCCAAAACTCTTCAATTAACTAAATTAGTGGCCTTTCCCACAACCAAGTAAGCTCAAACCTAAAAGGCAAAAGGGCAAATGTGAATTCATCCATGTTCAATTAATTGAATTAGCGACCTTTCCGACAATCAAACTGACTCTCTATTAGAAAATAGGATTGATAGGATAAATTGACCTTCCAAAAATCCAATCTAGAACGGAAAATGCTAGTTTGGATTGACAATCAGACTGACTCTCTAATGTGAGAATAGATCCTCAAAAAACATAATATAAATTTCAATTTTGAAAATAAAAATAATAATAAAATAAAATGGATAGGAACTAAGGTATTTGGGCGATCTGATTTCTAACAGAACTAGACAAAATCAGGCCGATGCATAAACTTAATTGGTGATTCCCTAATCCACATTGGTGAATTTTGCAATACTAGCATGAACTTTGGACCAATTGAAACATTAAAACTAGGAGGTGCATTTATCGCATGATTCATTAAGACGAACCCACTTGGAATAAATTCCAAGTAAAATGAAGAAATGGCAAATGAAATCCTTTGTTTTCTCCACCCATATTTTCGTTATCCAGCCAAAA